GCAGAAAGCCTCAACTCTCTCCTGCGGAACAGCTGGTAATTTCGAACTGCTGACCTTGCGGTTCGCAGCCCGATTCGTAACCATCTGTTGTATATGTCTTAATAAAACAAAATAACCATCATCCATTGAACTGTGACATCAGCTAAGCTATGTTGTGATTTCAGAGATATCAGATTAACACAAAAAGCACATCCAGAATCAGTAAAGTAGGGGATTTGCTTGCAGAGTCTTTGGTTTGCTTTTGTCTCCCTCAGGGGCTCTCACCATCACATGCCTCAGTCACATGCCTTCTCAGCTGGAATTGAGGCACTTTGAGGAAGTACAACCCATTTAGGGCGAGAGCAGCTTACTGTCTCTAACACCCTTTTCACTCTTTCCTGAGTATAATGAAATCTGTTTGTTACTGTAAAGTCCCTTACGATTCATAATGACCCTGTATGGGGTTTCCAAGGAGTGGCTGGTGTGTTCGAACTGCTGACCTTTTGGTTAGCAGTCCAGTGCTTCTCCTACAGTGCCACACTAGGACTCCTAATAATGCAAATTGTTGTTGTTAAGTGTCATCGCATCAATTCCGACTCATAGCTACCCAATAATGCAAATTAGGGAACGAGAATTTTGCCATAATTGGAAAAGCAAAGTTTACTGAAAACAGTATCACAGGTAGGATATAAAAAGTTAAGTGTGTGTACTGCCTTTGCGATAAATTATTTGGGAGCTCTTGGCTTTTAAAGAAGAAATGTTCAAGCTAATAACCCTGCTAGTCGGCCTACCTCCCCTGTCTCCTGTTGTACTGATATTATTAATTTGCTGAAAAATAAAACAGTCTCGAAAATTGTATCTTGCTGTCCCTCCTGGCAGTGTGTTCATGAAGAACTCTTGGTGTGTGCTCCATGGCCCCGCTGTGTGCTTGTTGTGTTGTGCAGCGGGGATGAGCATCACAGATGTGCACATGGACACTCCTGGCTTGAGTTCTTGACAAGCACCCAAGGGGATACTGTGGTAGGCACATGGGGTCCAGGCTGAGGAAGGCGAACAGGCCCTAGAGAACTGCGGGAAGGAAGGTGATCTGCTGACTGTTGGGGAACTGTGGTGGAAGCGCTGAATTGCTTGCCCCTTGGTTTATGAAGTATGGTTTGGGAATTACATTATTTCTTTAGACACCCCCCCACACACACACAAAGCACAGGCTGTGAAATCATGTTGGAGCTGACTGTGATGATAAAGGCTCAGCACTGGATGGCTAACAGTAAGGTCGACGGATCAAGCCTACCAGCTGCTCCATGGAAACTCTATGTTGTTGTTTAGTGCCATTGAGTCGGTTCCAACTCATAGTGACCCTGTATAGGGTTTTCAAGGAGCAGTTGGTAAGTTTGAACTACTGGCCTTGAGGTTCAAACTGACCTTGCAGTCCAGTGCTTACCCTATAGGGTTACACCAGGACTCCTGGTCCAATGTGTCAGAACCTCCTCGATGGCACTTAACAATAGATGTAGAAGAGACATGTAAGATAATTGTGTATACACAAGAATAAAAGTGCGTTGTAGTTGTCCGAGTGAGACTTTGGTAGTCCATCAGTACCGCACTTCATTCTGGGTCCTAGCCACAGTGTTGTAAGCCCTTCAGTTCTGCACTCGTTCACTCTGGGTCCTAGTAACTCTGTTAATAGCCCATCAGTTCTGTGTTTATTCAGATTGGGCCCAGGAATCACCTCTTTCCTTCCTAACTGTATAGCCCAAAGGCAATTCATGTCAGCATTTATGTTGTAGTGATCAAAGATTACTTAGTTAATTCCTTTAAGATAGAGCTTTGTGATAGCCACAAGAACGGGAGAGCAGACTAGATTTTTCTTACTTAGATGATGTGTGTTTGTGTGTTTCTTCAGTTTACCGGTATGGTAGAGGTTTTTTTATTTTGTGTTCATGTACTGATAAGACAATAGAAAGTCAAAGATTCAAAGATGAATTGCATGTGGCTCTGAGGATGGAAGAGAGATAGATGTATGGATGCTGGTTGGCACAATGTGGTCATATCTCTGCGGGGTGGCTGGATCACCACCTCTCCCTCAAGAGGTGGAGAAGATAGTAGCAGATAGCTAATATTTACTGTTGAGGATCAAAGACTACAACCTTCGGTATAGATTGCATCTCAATATAAAGAAAACAGAAATCCTCACCACTAGACCAATACGTAGCATCATGATAAATGGAAAAAAGATTGACGTTGTCAAAGACTTCATTGTGCTTGGATCTGCCATCAACACTGATGAAAGCAGCAGTCAAGAAATCAAATGATGTGTTGAGCATTAAGCTAATCTGCTGCACAAGTCCTCTTAAAGTGTTCAAGAGTAAAGATGTCAATTTGAGGACTAAGGTGTGCCTGACCCAAGCCATGGTATTTTCAATAACCTTATATGCATGTGAAAGCTGGACAGTGAATAAGGAAGACCGTAGAAGAATTGATGCTTTTGAGTTATGGTGTTGGAGGAAAATATTAAAGGTACCATGGGCTGCCAGAAGAACAAACAGATCTGTGTTGGAAGAAGTACAACCAGAGTGCTCCTTAGCAGCCAGAATAACTGGACTTCGCCTCTCATACTTCTACCAAGGAGCTCTAGTAGCGTAGTGGTTACTGAATCAGGCTGCGAACCACAAGGTCAGCAGTTCGAAACTACCAGCTGTTCCGCGGGAGAAAGATGAGGCTTTCTGCTCCCATAAAGATTTACAGCCTCGCAAACCCTGTACAGGGTGGCTATGAGTCGGAACTGACTCCATGCCACATAATTTTGAACTTATTATCAGGAGGGACCAGTCCCTGGAGAAGGACATCATGCTTGGGAAAGAAGAGGGTCAGCAAAAAAGAGAAAGACCCCCAACTAGATGGACTGGCACAGTGTCAAGAGCAACAGGCTCAAGTGTAGCAACAATTACCTGGGAGGTGTTTCATTCTGTAGTACATAGGATGGCTCTGGGTCGGAACCAACTCAAGGACACGTAACAACAAGAAGCTGTGTTTGAAAGATGAAGAGTTTACAGGCAGATGCTAGCAATGCTCTTTCCCAGCAGAGGGGACAGCGGCCGGCTCAGGTTGGGACTAGATCAGGATCTGGTAGAGGAGGGCTGGGTCAGATGTGAGGAATCTTGTCTCTATACTCAGTTTGTCATCTTGGCTTTCTCAGAGTGTCTTCTGTGCAATTGCTCCATACAGTGGTTTTTTTTGGGGGGTGGGGGTGGGAAGCTATAGCTTCACTGCCCCATCACAGCATTCCACCCTAACTACCAAACCTGCTTCCTGTTTATACAGCCGAGAACCAGTTTTGGGAGGGGCTGCTCTAGACACTGGGTTACATTTGGGAAATTATGCAACAGTGCTGCACAGTAGGCTGGAAACACTGACGAGCTTTATTTACATAAAATCTGATCATCCGCATAAAGATGTTGACTTCCAAAACGTACATATCTAGGGCACTTAAGAGGAAATTATTTTAACAAGGAACTAAGCTTATATTTAGTTGCAGCAGAGATTATCCGTAAGAGGAGAAGTTTAGGATAAATGTAGATTTTGTTTCTGACCTTTGATCAAAGACGAAACAAATACTTTATAGTAGTTTCTGGTTAAAGAAAATCTTTGGTTTAAAATGTACTTTAGTGGTAATAATTTAATAAATCCTTTTCCAATGTTTTCTCTTCAGATTTTAGATTAAAGCAGTAGTGTTTTTTTGTTTATGTCTTTCTCTCCTCCTTTCTCTCTTTTTTAATAAGGCCAGGCAAATTTTATTTACATTTTAATAGATAATATATTTTTGTGTATAACTGTCATTTGTGATTCTTTTATTGTGATGTATCCTAATTCATTTCCTTCCCTTTTTATAAAATTGGATTTCTGGTCTTTTTGTTTTCATTTTTTAAGAGCCTTCATGTTTTAGTGAGATTAGCTCTTTATTTGTAATAAGAGTTATAAAAATGATTTCCCAGTTTTTAGCTTTCATAAAATACTCACTTAATGTAGTTGATGGAGCTCTGGTAGCTAACCTCAGGTCATCAGTTCGAAACTACCAGCTGTTCCACAGGAGAAAGATGAATTGAATTCTAAAGAAAGGTTAAATTTAGATATATTATACCTTTTCTTTTTAACAGCTTTGTTGAAATATACCATATGATTATTAGATAAATTATACCTTGTTAAAATTATTTCTTTTTAACAGCTTTGTTGAAATATATCATATGATTCACCCACTTAAAGTGTTCGGTATAGGGTTTTAGTATGCTCCTGTAAAGATGTTCAGCCTTGGAAACCCTATGCAGGGTCACTATGAGTCGGAACCGACTCCACGGCACACAACAACAACAATAATGTACTTGATAATATCAGTGGTTTTTTAATACATAATGTTTGCTGGGTTTTGAGTAAGAGTTAGAAGGGGTTTTTTTGTCTTTCCTGTTTATGAAGGAATTTACCCAGATTTTATTGTAACACTTTCATGGTTTATATATAAATTAAATATAAATAATCGATGCAGGCTTTTCTAGTGTATGGTGTGCGGTATGAATCTGATTTTATTTTATTATTTTACTGATGGGTAGGTATCTTAATTACTCAAATACCATTCATTGTATCATCTTTTTCTCTCTGTGATTTTGAATACCTTTTTTTTTTTTTTGTCATGCTTACGTTGAACTGTTTTGGGACTCTGTGTGGTAAAGACTGGACCACAAGGTCGACAGTTCAAACTTACCAGCCCCTCTTTGGGCACCGTATACAGGGTCACTCTACATCACTTCACAACAAAAATAATGTCTGGTAGTGCTTAATTTTTGGAATTTTCCTGACTTTTTCTTTTTTTTTCTGTTTGAACTTTAGAATTAGCTTATGTATTTCCAAAGGCTAATCTGGGAGGTACTTAGGGAATGGGAATCACTTTAAATTTACATATTAATCTCTTTCTGTTAATGAATCTACTTTAATTTACTAATCTTTTTTTTTTTCTTCTTCTTCCTTTACAGATGATATTAACCGTGTTCTTGAGCAACAATGAACAGATTTTAACAGAAGTTCCTATAACACCAGAGACAACATGTCGAGACATTGTGGAATTTTGCAAGGAACCTGGAGAGGGTAGTTGCCATTTAGCTGAAGTGTGGCGGGGCAATGGTATGTATTAGAATCAATAAAGATGACTAAGTCCACAACATTTCATGGTTCTCACAATTAAAACATTGTTTCTGGTTCTTAGTTATCTGTGGTAATGAGGTGAACTAGGTGATAAAAGCACTCATAGTTCACGTAAGTATAATTGTTTTAATGTCTTCAACATGCTGCATGATGTGACCCTTACATAGAGTGCCCTTACACAGCGAGTTGGGAGCAGTAGGGAAGAGAGCCGTTCTTCCTGTTATTGCAGCCACGTGAGAGTCCGCCTTCCTCTGAGACTTGGCAGTGTTTTGTGTGGTGTGTCGAGTTGTTCAGCCATTTTTCTTTACCCTTCTGATAACTCCATGAAGGCAGAAGCCGTTTTACTGCTCTGGTGCCCCCTTCTCCCTCCCTGTATACAAAGCAGTAGTCCTCCCAACCTTTCTGTGTATACGAATGACAAGAGTCAAATACAGGCCCTTACATGTGAGGGACTTATTGTCCAGCTGGGCAGAGAAGATGGATGTAGGTAGTCATTGAATATGGAAAACTCAAAAATGATCAGAATTGAATTCTAAAGAAAGGTTAAATTTAGATATATTATACCTTTTCTTTTTAACAGCTTTGTTGAAATATACCATATGATTATTAGATAAATT